TCCTTTGCCATTCATTTCTGACATATTCTAGCCTAGTAATAGTGCTTGAGTTATGACTCATGTCAATCTAGTGTTTCTATTAAACTCTATGCGAAGTGCAATGTTATGACTAACTGAATCTGACAAACATGTTTCTTTGAACCATAATTATCATGTAGTCGTGCTTGGGTTTATATGTTCCATATTATAGCCATGCTGGAGTTAATGAGCAAAAGCACAGAGCGTTCTTAGACTAAACACAGAGACCTTTGCCTGCATCTGTGAGTGCTTGAGTGTGTTTATATATGTGTGTATGTTTTTAAATGTGTGTTTAGCAGGGAACAGCATGTGCTCGACCACACTACCGCAGTTGTGTAGGAGTGCATGTCACACAACGATATTCTCCAAGGCTCAGTATTATCACAGCTCAGATGACATTTTCTTGCTCAATAGCCTTTTAGAGATCAGACTACCTTACCTTCAGACTGAGATGCATTACACATAAGACAGGGAGTTTGTGTAAATGTTATGGTGTGTAAAATATGAACCTATGAGCCAAGAGAATTATGCACATCTTGCAACATTTTTTGTGAACGTGTTTATACAGCCATCCATGTATGCTGTTCAGCATTAAATTATGTCTTATTTTAATGGACACATCAAAGTGTATTGGGACTTCTGGTATATACTGTGCTGTTTGTTAAAGACACGCTGATATAATGAAAGCGTGTGTGGGATTGAAGGACATATTATATGTGAAAGAGACTCTAATTAACCCACAAAGAGCACAAGAGGCCGGTGAGGATATGTGAGTATAGGCATAAGAGCAGGACCAAGATCAAAAACTTGAATAAGATGATAAGGATGGTTGAAGATAATGCAAAAGCAAGATGTAGAGGAAAGGGAAATTATGTTTTCTTCATCCTTGTTTATAGACCTGCTTGTAGCTCATTCAATTCTTAGCATGAATACAATAATTAAACACTAATGCATCCATTAGCAAAACCTGCATTCGACTTGTCACTTGGCAACACCACCAGCTCTCAATTATATAGTAGCACTGCAGTCTTTGTCCATATAGCTTGGCCGCGTTTCAGCACACATGCAACAAGATGCAATTGAATAATATAAGCAGCTGCAAATAATGAGAGTAAAACTTATATTTATGCATTTTGCAGACATTTTTTTTCAAAGCAACATGCATTGCATTCAAAGTATATGTTTTAGCAATTCATGCAATTCCTGGGAATCAAACTCATGACCCTGGCATAACTAGCACTGTGTTCTTCTGTTTAAGCAACATAAAACATAACACAAATACGCAGTCATGATATCAGTATGGATCAAGCTCGTAAAAAAACTGCACATTTGGATTCAATTTTACGGTTAATGAGTTAACTTAGTGGTTAAATATTTGGGCTAATAATTCAAAAGTGGCCGATTGCGTCCTCAGAGAGGGTGATTTATTAACTTGATCTTATAACTGAGTCACTGGATTTTTTTTCCCTCTTGAGCAAAGCACTTGACTGTCAATGTAATTTATACTGTATATGCCACTTTGAATAACAAAGTGTCTGCATTGGTTTGAAACAGCTTCAGTTGTTAAAATGAGCGTAAAAAGTACAATGAAATGAAGTTAAAGTATGGGCACTATGTAATTTTTTTCTTAAAGTCAAAGTACTGTACATAGGCAAATTTACTTGATTTACTTGAAACATGAGCCACATTTAATTGTACTTATTTAAGCATTTAAAAGTAAAATAATTTTTTTTTTCTAGTTTGGAAATTAACTGATGAAGTCATCATTTCCTGCAATTTTTTTATTTTTGTTTATATGTCAGAACTTACTTTTCAAACATTCTTTTGACTTTTTCTTGTCTTCTTCTCTAGTCACTGTAAAAGATTCTTGTCAGAAGTGCAATTTGAACAGAGAACAGAGACCATATGGGAACAATGGAACTTCTTGAGTCTGGTACCTTAAAACACTCAGCCATTCTGAACAATAGTACGCTAATTATTATATCAATGGAGCCTGAAATGTGACTCTATGTAGAAGGCAAGTGATAGCACTTAATGCATTTACATTCTTTAAGTCTTAACGTCAAGTCACTCTAAAACTGTTATTCTGACACTTAGCAGACTGCAATTAATGACCACTCCTCAGTGGAACCTTCATGTATATGCAAATTACACTTACTGCATGTTTTCGTCTAGTGACTCTATAACTTGGAATCAGAAGTGGGATTTTAACTCATACCTCCATCCAGAGACCAAAAACCTCATGTCCTGAGAAGGCTGAAAGCGCTTGAGTGTAGCACTCTGCCATTCGGACACCTAATGCTGCTTTCTTGTTAATCAGTCATAACAGTGGAGCCTGCCTTATGGCAATGCAAATATGTAAAATGCAAATAAATAAATTATTTTGACACTTAGCAGCTTGCTTTTATTGATCACTTCAGTGGAGCCTTCACTATGACACTATGTAGAATGCAAATGATAGCACTTAATGCATTTACTATTTTTTTTTAATCACAAGCGGGATTTGAACTCACTCCTCCATTTGGAGACCAGAATGCTCATTACCTGAGAAGGTTGCAACACCTTGAGTCTGGTGCCTAACATGTTGATGAGTCCAATCAGTGAAGCCTTCAGTATGGAATGGCAATGATAGCACTTAATGCATTTACATTCTCTGAGGTTTCAATTCTTGTCTAGTCACTCTAAATTGCCAGTAGTGGGATTTCACCCCAGTTCACCATTCAGAAACCAGGAACCTCATGTCCTGAAAGCCTGGAAATCCTTGAGTCTGGCACCTTCTACCACTTGGCCATCCTGACACCTGATGCAAGTTATTTGATGATCTGTCCTATCAGCGTACCTTGTGGTACTGTGTCGCATGCAACTTATACATTTGCATACATGTACATTCTTATCTAGTCACTCTAAAAGCTAACTGTCAAGACTGGGATTTGAACCCACAGCTCCATCAAAGTCCAGAAACCTCATGTCCTGAAAGTTTGGAAAATCTTTGAGTCTGGCACCTTAGCCCACTTAGACATTCTGAAAACTGATTCAGCTTTTTTGATGAGCCATCTTATCAGTGGAGCCTGCCTTTTGGTTTGCATTCTTTTGAGTTTCGACTTTTTGTCTAATCACTCTAAAAGGGTCTTCTCAGAAGTGGGATTTGAACCTATGCCTCCATTCTGAGACAAGAAGCCTGCACTGGACTAATTTCAAAGTACTTTTCAAGGCTGTTGCAATGTCAGGATTTATCTCCTGTGGTATACCACAGATCGTACCTTGAAAGGGACTTTGGGTATACAGAGTGTCCTTTACAAGAGGACAATAAGACATACAGGTGGAAAAGGAAACAGAATGTATTGTGGTTGCTGTGCTAGCATGTTTACATCACTGCATCATAGCCTGGCTTTGATTCTCTTTATGAAGTAAATTGCTCTTTCTGTCAGTTCCGTAAAAGCACAATATGTACGTTTTCGCCGCTAGAGGGCGCGTTTTCAAAACAAGCAAAGAAACAAAGGCGTAGTTTGTCGACGCCGTGACTGAGTGTGGAATCATGGGAGTTGTCGTCATCATCCCCACAGCCGACGCAATCCGACGGGACTCGGGCAGAAATCATGTTCATGGATGAGCTAATGTATGAAAGATTTATTAACGTCGTATTATGAAGCAGGGTGAGGCTGAAAGCCGTCAAAGCGAAACGAGGCCGCTGAAGCAATTGCTAATGAGAGACGAGCGCGACACACGGCTCGAAAGCAGCGGAGCTTTTATTATGCCACAGTCGAC